TTTTTTTTTTTTTCGTGCTAAAATCGCACGTGCACATGCAAATGAGTATAGAATTGAATATATAATTATATATATATATTTTTGTGTGTGTGTTTGTTTTAACGCATGTGTAGCTAGCCGTGTGGGAAGCGGTGAAGATATTCGCGCACGCATTTTTGTGTGCGTGCTGGTGGACGCGCATATGTATAGGCATACGCAACATACACACACAGTGCATTTTGCGCACACCGGAAAGGGGCGGGCTACTTTTCCTTGCATGCGCTTCACAGCTTTGTATCCCCACCGGTGCTTTATCGGGAAGCGGCCTCAATGAAAGGCGCAATTACGAAGGGTTCAATTTGGTAGCCATGTGTTACAGGAAAAAATAAAGGCGGACAGCTAGCCATGTGTATTAATATGATGCCCAAGCCATGTCCATGCGACACGGTTCCGTTTCAAAGAAAGGAAAAAAAAAAAAAAAAGGATACCTTTTTTTATCAAGGCAGCATGACCATTTCTTTCACAAAAGATCAGATTGTTCTGCAAGTGAACGAATGACCATATTTTCCCTGTAGAGTTCCTTTTTATTTGTTAATCATTTTTGGCGACACGAATGGGACAACAGCCCGCACGGGGGATGCTTAACGCACATGCCTGACAGAGATCTGCCCGAGCCAGCAGTCCACAAGGACATTTTTAAAACGGTCCCAATTGAAGTACATGTGTTTCATGTAGGAAGGGAGGCAACGATTGGCCTCACCGATTAGCCGCGAATAGGTTATTACGTGGGGGATTAACTTCCCCTGTCCTCTGTTTACGTATGAGAAAAGCGGTTGTAAAGATTACCCATCCTTTGTGGGAACCAACCGGACAGTTCACTTCTACACGGATGGTCCTTAGCACATGTCGTTCCACTGGTAGGTGCCCAATTAGCCAACGTAGCAGGTATACCGACGAGGTCACCAAAAAGGTCATTCCACCCAGGGAAGAAAAAATGTACGCGCATTGGGGAAGCTGTACACACATATATTCATATATATGTGTATGTGTATACATTTTGAGGGGGATAAGCAAAGGTGCTCATTTTTACAGTTCGTGGTGGCTGACGGGGGAGTGGAAAACTGATTCATATCGGCGTTTCTTTTTTCTTTTACTGTCTATGTTTGGCCGCCCATCTGCATATACCAAATTGAAATGAACTAATTTGTTTTGACCTTGTTCAGCAAATTCTTCACAATGGAAGGAACACCAAAGCGGGGATGTGTCTGTACTCGTCCCCACTAGACATGCATAATGTTGGTAAAAGGAAACATATCTAAACCGCCGTTCTTTTGTTCTTGCATAAAATTCTTTTACTCATGTGTGATCGTGGTGATAGAAAGTTGCACAACTGGATTTGAGTCCCCAATCAAAGGCACACACAAAACAACCGCCGGGCACACACCGATGTACGAAGTAACATTTATGTGCCAAAACAATATGTTCACACCAAAAAAAAAAAAAAAAAAA